GGAAGCAATGACTCATTAATATATTTTGCACTCAACCCACATATCAGAAAAAAGATTAACGAACTAATTTTTTTCTATACCTTGCAGGCATAAAAAGAGCTGAGTAAAATCTTTTTACAACCAAGTCCCAGCAGAGACCTCATGGAAATTTGTTACAAAAACTTTCATTATAACACACTGTAATTCAATTACTGTATATGCAAGGCATATATCTTATTTTGAAATGGAACTAAATAATCTCCAAAAAACATGCTTTGATCTGTATTTTTGAACACTAAATGTTCTTTGCAAACAGTTTTGCTCCTTTGATAAAGCTGGAATGCTGCATCATTTTTATTTTTCCCATTTTTCTACAATTCATAAAATAATATGTACATGGCCATTGCATACAATCTGGGCCAAAAATTTGTTCTGAGGTCACAGCCTAAAATGAGTTAGTCAAAACAAGCTTTTGTAACACAAGGCCTACGTGGAGAGACTGCCAGGACTTTGAAAAAAAAAGCTGTTCTAAAAATATTCGTTGTAACGGAATTCTACGGGTAAAAAAAGGAGTGCATCATAAGTCTTAAAATGTCATTTAAAAAATTAGCACAAATAGGGAATTGTAAAAAAAATGAAACGTTTGACTAGTGGTACTTCTTTCTTTATTTTGTTCCGAAATAAGCACAATGAGACAGAAAAAAAACCGATGCATCCAATGAATAACACCGTCTTCCACCTCCTCGCTCCAAAAAAGCACTGGATTCACCGTTCGTCAGGCGAAACGAAAGTCACTTGATCCACTGGAACATTTCCAGCACAAAGAAAAACAAAATAAGAAAGTTCTAGAGAAACGATTCCTTTATGCCAAGCAAAAAAAAAAATCGAGAAGAATATAAAAAAAAAGATAAACGCGGTAATAATTATTAATTGTTCCGAAGACCGTGCGGAATTCAAAACTTTTTTTTCTTTTTTTCTTCCTGGTGAAACCAGCCTTTCCATGAAAATAATTCAGGACCGCAAACTCAAGAGAAAAAAAAAGAGAAACAGAAACTTTCGCCGCGAATTAAAAAGAAAAACTTCTGCTTTCTTAACCACTTCCAACACGCACGCGAATCCGCATCACAAAGAGATTTCCGAAGAACCTCGCATCACCCACTTGGCGCCCTCCTTGTTCAAAAAAAAAAAAAAATTGCAAACAAAATTTCCACCTCTTTTTCAAATTGAAAGCAGCTATGGAGAGAAAGAGAGAGAGAAAAAAGAAAGGATAATGGTTTTCAGACTTTTCGACCGTCAGCTTTTCGAGTCTAGCAGAGCGTCTTTGCGGGCCAAAGACTCACTAAACACTTTTTCGACGTACAGGATTCGAAAAATGGAGAAAAGCTTTTTTCTTTCGTTTTTCTTCTTCTTTCACACGATACGCGACCTGAACTCAAACTAGAATCCACACGCGAGTCGCTTTCTTTCCGAATTTCTGAGAAAAAATCCACTCACCAGAACCACTACAATCTCTTGGAGAAAACACCGTTGATTTTTCTTTTTTTTTTTCGTGTGTGCTCCGAATGATTCAAGTGATTTTTTTTTTCAAATTCCCGTCATACATTTTAGCAGTCCATGACCTCCATGAAGAGAAAAAAAAAACAAGAGTCTTCATATGAGAGGAAAAGCAGCGGGAAATAAAAAATTATTCGCAGAACACACGAGGAAATTACATCATCAAAAAAACCACGAGCTCCACTTCTTACTTCGTGAATTATAACTTCGGGCGGACGAGCGAAGCAGTTTTTCTCTTTCATTTTTAAATTTCTTTCTCTCGTCTATTTTTCTTTTCTTTTCATTCAACAGTCAAAACAGCGAGGAGGAGGCGGCGCAGTCCGAGCTTCACCACACTGCTTCACTTGCTCAGGATAATAAATCTGTCGAAAATGAAACAAAAAGTTGCGAAAATCAAATTCAGTAGCATTTGAAAAAAGGAAAAATTCTCAATGGAAAGGACTCCCGAAATGCAAATTATAATTCGAAAATTGTAGGATCACAGAGCAGCAAGTGTATCATTCCCCTAGAAATATCTCACGCGCGCAAAAAAATTCGGCATTGCTGAAGCACGTAGTTTTAGTGGGAGTTAAATCGCAGAGAAGGAATTTAAAACTTGACCACTCCGTTTTATTGAAATTTTCAATCCTACAAAAAAGTTGGAAATTTCTCGAAACAAAAAGACTCGCATTTTTTAAACTCAAGTCTCTCGATTCAAAATCGAATCATCGTTATCTGAAAAGAGCTGCTCGTCCATAAAAAAAATTAAAACAGGCTCAACCATGCGCAAATTTAGAGCCATAAATTTTCCTGTAGAACAATAGCTAATAACTTGAATATCTCACAAGGTCAATTTAAAATTCAATCCTAAAAGGCTCAACATTTACAATTTATTCCACGCGTGCTGGATTCTACCTTCAAAAATATTCAAGAGACCCGAGATGGAGATTTCACTAGTTAAGAATGTGAATATTCGAGTATAGGTCTGCCAGAAAACATGCCTGGCTGCATGAAGAATTGAAAAAATGTAGAAAATTCTTAAAATAGGCGATGTACCAAAAATTTCCTCACCAACATTTTCGAGCTATCGCTTTCACACTTGAATTTTGTAATACATATCTCAAAATTGAGCATAAATTTAAACGAATTAAACTTTTCCCACGCGATTAAACTTTTCCCACGCGTGGATTCTACTTTCAACAATGTTAAAGAGTTCCGAGACGAGGATATCCTTAGTAAAGAATGCGATCATTCAAATATGCAAGGTCCGCCAGAAAACATTTCAGGCTGCATGAAAGATAAACGCTTGAAAAAAATTCTTGGAATAGAACCAGAAATGTAAATGCCATACTTTTAAGCAATTGCTTTCACACGTGAATTTGCAATACATATCTCAGAAGTGGGCATAAACCGAGACAAATTAAAATTCTAGAACCTCAACTTGAAAGGAAAGGCCATCAACATTAATTACCTATTGCGTTGGAAGCCATGTTAGAGCTACTATGATCCAACGCCGCAGCGAAGGGATTGGTTTGCTTGTTGACAGCGTCTAGAGAACTAATCAGAGGATCCTGCACGCCTGTCTGCAAGCTTGAAAAGTCCACTAAAAACCTGAAAAAGAAAAACGAGAAAAGTATAAGACAACAAGCTTTAAGAAAAATACAGCAATCCAGAAAATAATGGTTCTTTTCTCTCCTTCACAAAACGGACTGCGGCTGTCACATATTTGTTTTTTTTTTTTTTTACCTTGCACAGCTGATCCTGCTTCGGATAATGGACACGTGTTACTTAGTCCTTTCAACATTTAGGAAAATATGGCTTCCGGCGGGGAAATCTCGACGCACGCAGTTTTGTTTAATTTTTGATTCTTCTGAGCATTGTTACGCTAGAACCTAAACATTTTTCGTGGTCATTTCATATTTAATTAGTATGTCCAAATACTGTATTTAGTAATAAGAAAACTGAAGAGATCTGGAATGGATTAGACTTTCCGTGCNGCATCCTACAGCTTTACACTAATGCTCAGCAGATACCGTATTTTAAGGGGGTTCGAAAGCAATTAATCTTTCTACACACGCGCTGATAAGACTTTCTCGTGAAAAATAATCGAGTCCGTTAATCGAGACACCACTCAAAAGAAGAACCCATAAAAAGCGTAGGTTTCTTGATGACTAACCCATCATCTACATGCCCATTGGCATGACCATTCGTCTCCCCAGAGTGCACCATGGGACGCTTTCCATCACCGTCATTGAATAGAACACCGTTTCCGTTGACAGTCGTCACGTCACGGTTCCACACCTTTTCAATCGACATCAAAAACACAAAAAAAACTCATTATACATCTTTTTTAATCTCAGTAAGAGTGAACATTTCGAGGATGTGAATAAAAAGGAGGACTCTTCCCATAAAAGATCTTCAGATATAAATCTAGAGCTAAATAAATTAGAATAAATAAATCATTCAAACACATTTTCAATAAATAAATTACTGTATATAGAATTCTGAATAAAAATAAATTATATCTAAATAATGTTCCCACGAAGATACTTAAGTTATTTATGTGTTTTTTTTTCCATTGGAGACTTCTCAGAGAAAATCGGATTTTGTCTACGGAAATCAAATACAAAATTAATTCGCAGAATCATACTTCATTTAGCAATAATTTTGCCTGATGGCATTTTAACGGGGTTCCCAATGCTTTTAGCATTTCACGGGTAAGGTTTGTTTCCTCAAAATAAATTGGCGATTGTCGAGGGTGGCGTCTTAATAACGGGGTACCTTCTTATTGGCAGCTTCGGCTGCTTCTTCCTCCTTCAAATTCCGTTCGGCCTCTTCATACATGGACGCCGTCATGGAGTCGGTCATCATCAGGATTTGGCCGGGAGCGAAGGCGGACGTGGGAGAGTCCAGCGGCACGCTTGAGGCCGGGTACGGGACAGGGGTGGCATTCGGCGTGGTGGTGGCGGTGGTGGTGGTAGCGCCGCCGGTAGGAGTGGTGGCGCCCGTCACGGAGGACACGGACGAAATTGAGTTAGTGCTAGGCGTGGCATTGGCGGCCACAACGCTGTCGAGGGACGCCTGGGTGCTGGAGGCGACTGAACTACTGCTGCCGCTTGCCACACTCGACGGGCCCGACTGATCGCCTTCCTGCTCAACGAGGATGACGATACCAAAATTTAATCAGGCTCAAAGAACGATTGTGAAAACATGATAATGAGGAATTCAAAATTACACAATGCGCTTGAAATTACCAATTTTCTTATTTTATTCAGGTAATGTCAATTTATGGGGAATAGGTTCGTTAGGTTTAGGTTGAATCGAAGTATCATATTATTGCTTCAGACAAGCTTACCTTTTTTATTCATCTAGTTCGTTTCGAGATTACTTCTATACACAGAAGACATCTGGGATTTGAAAAGCGAAGAAAAAAGATCAGTGTATTTTTGGTTCTATTTTTTCAAGAAGTTCACTTTCACTGGGTAAAAATTGAACGTCTCACAAAATATCACGTCACACGAAAAAAATACGTATTTTCGATTTTTTTTAAATAAGGTCTTCGTTTTTAAATCGTGGATATTATTGGAATACAACAGAACAGAGACTTTTTTCGTCTTCCTCGGGAAGTCCATTTTACTAGGCAAAAATCGAAAGCTTCAAATAATATTGAATTCCGCCGCACGAAAACTTGTGGATATTTTCTATATTAAAAAAGGGTATTACAATGGATATCTACGATTGAAAAAAAGGAACAAAACAGACCAGAGATTTTCATCAGGAAGTAAATTTTCACGAGGCACAAAGACAACGTCTGATGAGACATTGCGCTACACGGAAACTTACAGTCTCTATTTTTCAAATAAAAAAGCATTGGAATAATATTCGTAGTCGAATTTCCGAGGTTTTCTTCCAAAATCAATCCACTTGGTGAAAAATGGAATGGAATGAGAACTCACCTTAGTTCCTCTGGCTCCCCGCGTGCGAAGCATGATCGCTTCAACTTTCTGCAAAGAAAATATACACCAATGATATTCAGGAAAAATTGTACCAAAAATTTCGGAAAAGCCATTTCCCAGCGACGTTTAAACTTTGCATGATGTTCACTCCCGATATCTTTCGAGTTGATCGGAATAAATATGTACAGAGCTCTCATTTAAATATTCAGATTGCATGTAAATTAATACGCCATCAGGTTTGCATGACGCAGTTGCGCATTTAACTATTCTAGCACCAAAATAGGACAAATTAACATATCATTTGTATCGGAAGTCAGAACACAGTTGTTTTTTCTTAAATTGATATACAGTACTGCAATCGATATTAAAATTAAGATGAATCTCGAAAAAAATCTACGCAATAATGATCAAACCTTGCGTCTGGCTTCACGCTCTTCCATTTCTTGTCGCAGCTTTTCCTCTCGCTCTTGACGGAGACGTTCGGCTTCTTCTCGTGCTCTTTTCTCCAGTTCTTCCTTCTCTGCTTTCAACCTCGCTTCTTCTTCCTTTCTCTTCTTTTCTTCTTCCGCCTGTCGTTCTGCCTCCTGAAAGGAAAAAATACAAAAATTATATTTCACATGGACGACATTGAACGAAAAATTTTGGAGAAATCTTGATATTCTTTAGGACGACACTTTTGTGTCTTTTCGATCCACATGATTTCTTCGCATTGCAATAGCAGATTGAGCCGAAAAAAAAAAAAACTCTTATGGATTGATTTTCTGTACTAAAGAATAATGATGCGAATAAAGAAGTGAACTCGGCTTTCAAATTCGTTTTTAATTGGTACCGGACAAGCGAGAAATAATTCTTCAGAATTCATCCATCTGAATGGGAAATAAAAGCATCAAAGCGTGTTTAACAACACTTATCATTTGAATTTTTCTCAAGAAGTTAGAAAAGATTTCTTCATTTCACTTAGAAAGTAAGACTGAAACCGGAAAAAGAATAATTCTATCGACTTGTTTCGCATTGCAGCAGAAATATGCAGATAAAAACGTGAAGTGGGATTTCTAACTCCTATTTTCTTCATTACAAATTCTTCTTGACCGAAAACCGAGAAATATATTTTAGAATTCATCTTTGCATAAATAAATTTTGAAGTACTGCACGATTCCACGTTTTTCTGTACCATTACACACGCACACAGAAACGTACATATTTTGGTGACTTGAGGACGAAGCGGGAAAAATCCTGACATCTTTCCCACGATCATTTTTTGCCAATTATCAAAAGAAAATGACATTTTCTGCATTATCTTGACTAACACACGATGGATGTACAGTATATTATACATAATTCAGAAGCATCTGTATCATTTTGAGCCCCGATTCAGTTTTTCAGTACATGCTTTTCGCAGATATGGCCCAAGAAGTTCGCCTAGTATTTCTAAACTTGTGGTCATATTGAATATTTTACTTTATTGCATTAAAAATCGTTTAATTACAGTATTTCAATTCAATTCTGAATAATGTTGTTTTTAAACATAAAATAAAGACCTCGATTGCGCGTTTGAGCCGGTCCTCCTCAGCTTTCCTCGCCTCCTCCATAAGCCGCTCTTGCTCAGCCTCGAACCTTCTCTGCTCCTCTTCTTCCCTTCTCAAGCGTTCTTCTTCCGCCAGTCGAGCCTCTTCTTCTTTTCGTTTCTGCTCTTCGGCCTCACGCTCAGCTTGCTCTCGAGCCAGTCTTCGTCTCTCAGCAATGGCCGCCTTCGCCTCTTCTTCCGTGGTGATCTTGGGTTTGTTGCCCAAACTGTCGCCATCCTCCTTTTGTGTCTTGGAAGCTGCAAATTTTCAAGTAAGGTTAGAAAAAAAAACTGCTTCTGGAAAGGACTTCTTTCGCCATTTTAAAGCACGACTTTGGTTCTAGAATGTCGGACAGGTCCATTGAACTGACCAAAAATTACGTCAGTCAGCCTTGACTGACTTCAAAGAAACCAGCCTAACGTCCTTATTTCATCGATGAATTAACCCATTTAAAAATACATGGACATTTGCAGGCGACATCTACGCGATAACAAAGAAAATCAAAGACATGGAACGACGTGAGAAAAACCAGAACTGACTCAAGAGAACCCAGCCTAACCCATTTCTTTCTCCTTCATACAACACAACCTCAGTTGGGTCAAACAGAAAAAAATTACAGGCGACATCTAGGATGTAAAAAATAGTATAGTCGAGGACCACGCAAGAAAACCCGAACAGAAACCAGCCTACGCTCACTTTTTCTCACTAATATGACATGAACTTAGCAAAATCAAACAAAATGTGAAAAAATCCAGGCGATATCCACGTGGAAAAAAAAACGAAAATCGAAGAGATGGACGACTCAAGAAAAACCATAACTGAATCAGGAGGAAACCTGCCCAACCTAACTTTTTTAAAAGTATACAACATGACCTTTGATCAACAAAATATATACTGCACATAAAAAATTCACGCGACATCTAGTTGAGAACGAAGAAAATCCGTCATAGAAGACATATGAAAAGTGAATCTGATGCGGGATGAATTAGCATAACTCAAAATTACCTCATCTTAATAAATAATTTGACATGCGTTACAATTAAAAAAAAAAATCCTAAAAAATCTAGGCGACATCTACACGATTTGAAAAAAGTTCGAGAAATATTGTTCTTTCTTCAAATAGAACAGATGCATTCAGCAACATCAACACAGTGTAACAGTGCAGTATTTTTGTACAGGTACTGTACTATTATATATCTAACCTTCATCCTGGAAAGGCTTCTTTTCCGCAACAGGAGTCGAGGGTTCCAGCGAGCTTTCCGGACTTCCGGTTGAAGGCGCAGACGCTGTTTCCGGGGTCGGAGAAGCGGGTTTTTCCTTTGAGGGTTCTTTGCTGGCTGGTTTGCTCTTATTCGGCGCACGTTTAATAGTGCCCGTGTCCCCGGCTTTTACCATATTTTCTGCAACCACGGATGCAGAAGATGCTTCTTTTCTGGGGGTTGTGGGACCGGAACTACGTCTCGACATCCTCTTGTCTGCTGATGCAGCTGCGGGATTTTGCGAGGGAAAAAATTAATAAAAATTTTCAGCGTACATAAAAAAAAAACTAGAATTGTGGAATGCAGGTTTCCTTTGGGTGACATCGTACGTCTTTCGTCAACGTCTCGCTGACCATTTTAAAGAATATATCAGTCGCAATTGATGTAACGACAATCAAAAATGACAAACTCCGTTCAGTTCAGCCGAAAATGACTCACAAGTCAACTAAATCAAGATAAATGACAAGAAGCGTTAAAAATATAACCCAGCACACGTTTGCTAATCTAAGCTGATATTCATCAAATGAAGCAAAGCAAAATGGAGGCGAAACCCAGTCAAAAAAAAAAAAAAAAAACAGTGCTGCTGCAGCTGTTGAGTGATACGTAGAAAATTTTTAAATTTGAAAAGGGCAAAAAAATTTAATTTGTGGAACATGGGCGTCATTTTAATTGACGTATCTTTCCTCTCGCTGCTCCTTCCAATCAATACCAATAGAATCAGCCACAGTTCTTGATACGGAGAAAAATAGAACTCCTTCTCGTTCAATCAAAAATGACTCAACCCAACCTAAATCAAGATAAGTATGAAATCCACATTGACAAAAAATATACTCCGGAAAACGAACCCCAACCTAATTTGGATTGAATACAGAATTGAGGCGACACCTATGCAATGGCACAGCAATTCGCCAAATCCAGCAAAGAATGTCAGCAAGACATGCAAAAGCTCCTCTCAAGCGAACGCAAAAAATCCGATTTAAATTTTGCCAAGCTCATAATATAGAAGCGATGGAAAATACCGCAAAAACTCATGTCTAATTCCTGAAACATAGCACAGGTGTCGCGCCTAAATCACAAATCTGACATAAATACAGTAATCAACCAAGCTTGCCTCAACCCCACGATTAATTAAACTAATGTAAAATAACCAAAGCATAATTTCCGCAGGGAAAAAAACCCTTGCAACAAAATTGGGGCGACATCTATGCAATGATACAAGGACTCGCAAAATCCAGCAACGTTTGTCAGCAAGAAATGCAAAAACTCTTCCTGAACGGAACGAAAGCAAAATATCCGAATGGAATTTTCCAAGCTCATGGAATAAGAGCGTGAAAAATCTTGCAAAACTCTGCTACTCATTTCTGAGCCTCATAAAAAACTTTTAAATTGAAAAAAAATCGAGGCGACACCTATGCGATTGTACAGAAAATCCCAAAGTAAAAAAAAATTCCGGAATCACGAAAAGCAAGCAAGGACCAAACATAGCCTGCAAAAAAAAAAAATAGCAAGAAAAGAAGCCAAACCTTTTTGCGGCGCCCCAACATCAGCCCCTCTTTTCGGCGTCGTGCTGGAAGCTGAGCCGCCATGCCGTCGATTCTCAAGCTCGACACTAGTGCCAGCAATGCTGACGGGTCGTGGCTTGAGTCTCGACACTGTGCCCGGCGGGTGGCGGCGACGAACGCCGCCCACATTCGAGCTGCCAGCGTTGCTCACTTGCGAAGCATTGCTTAGCGCACTAAGCGGTCGTGACGGCGTCGAAGGCGTCGTGGCGCCGGATCTCGCAGGCGGCTCTCGAGCTGCAATTCATTTTCACATGCAGCAAAAAAAATTAACAAAACGAAAAAAAAATTTGGCAAAGGACGAACAAGAATAGCACAGAGCAAAAAATGAAAAAAATACGCAGCACACTTTCATCATGACCCCTTCGGAAAAAAAAATCTCACACCTATCGTAAATGTAAAATTATTACCAATTCTTCGATTGATTTCATAAATTATATTAAAAAAAAAAAGCTGCACTGTATCCCTGAACGACACGTGAATTTATTTTCAGAATTGACCGAGTTCAGTGAAATTTAAGATCTAAACGTTCCGAATTCAATAATTCCGATGACTGACGAAAAACAGATGAGAAAGTTGGACGACATCAGACAACATTTCATTAAATAAAAGAAATACTTTTTAAATCATCATGATGTTAAGAACTTCAAATCAATCCGAAGAACGGTAAAATCAAAGCTTTCTGGAAAAATCATTTAATAAACTTCATGTTGACGTTTTTTTTTTTTGGAAGTGGTAGCTAAAATTCTTCACATGATAAAATAGCATTTTGAATTGATCCACTCATCCAAGACCACCTTACAAAAATGAAAATGGTTCCCCCTGAGCACTATTACGAACTAGTAAAAATTAAAACTAATGAAGACTCAGTACAGTATAACTAAGTCATAATTAGTACATCGGACTACAATAGAGTTCGCTTCGACTTAATCGTACATAATCAGTTCATAAAACTGAATTATTACCTAGTTTGTTGACTCAGAACAAGTAAGTAATACAGTATCAAGCACTAATAAAATGTATACTTTTTATGACTTAGTTATACTAGGTCAAACTAATCCACGCCAAGAACATTTTTCACACACTGAAAAACCACGCCTTGGAATAATTCTTCTACGCTGCATATCGCATTATTCAAAATAATCTTCGCTTGAAGTTGCATCACAAAAAATTCCTCATAATAAAAATTTTTAAAACCGTGAAATATATCAGTGATCGCACGAAGCATAAAAATTTACATCATGTAACAGAGAAAGTCTGGGCAGTTATTTTTTTCATAACTGCGCCATGCAACTGAAGCGAAGAAATTTTTTTACAAAATCGTAAACATCTCGATACCGAAAAACTTCGCTACAAAAAAAAAATATAAAATTTTCTATCTCGAATTAGAAATGAGCTAATGTATAAAAAATATCTCGTGTCTGCGTCATGCAACTGAATCTTTACAGCGCGTGCACAAAATCTAAAAAACAAAAATTAATCGCTGGAAAAACCGTGGAATATTCACGGTCATTCGCAATTCATGCCATGCCAATGAAAAACAAAACTGTGCAGATACGCTGAACGATAATGAAAAAACAAGCAAAATTGCCAAAAAGAAATGCATGCCGATTCCGTGCGAACACTGGCCTTCTGTCACACCATTTCGTACCGTGTGTGATCGTTAAAAAAAACAAGACAAAAATAAGTTCATTTTGACACCAAGGCTATATCACATAAATTGCCGAAAACCGCAATAAATCCCCGACTTTTTTCTCCACTGAACTCGTCAAGCTTCGCTGAATATTTTTCCACGGTCATAACGTTCAGGCAATATTTCACAGCAATAAAATGAAAACAAAGGCTAAGAGGGGGGGGGGGGAGTAAGAACAAATTATTCGTTTCGCAAGGATTCGAAATTGTGGTCGATTTCAAAACCCCTTTTGCGTGACGATCGCACGAAATCAAAGTTGCGATTCGGGAAGGTCGAGAGAGAGAGAAATTGAAAGCACCGCAGAATTCCATTTCAACACTTTAAGATGCATCAAATTTTTTGTTCTCAACGTTTACATTTTTTTTTAACGAATGTGTGTAGCGTCAGAAAGGAAATCGATAAAGGATCTCAAACGCTATGAATTTGACCGATTTTTTTCTTTTGGTTTGAGTCAGCGTTCGTCGCAACGGAAGCTTGCTTCATCCGAAAGGGATACAAATTTAGAAACGTAAAATTGTAAGTGAAACGAAACTTGTTTTCCGTGAGACTTTCACTGGGTAACTTCACTTCTTGGACTAGAACACTCAACTTTTGCTCTGTTCCCTGGTAAAAATTTAATGGAAAAAATGAAATTTCGGTGCGTAAAATTGTATGTTCACCAAAAAAAAAAAAAATTCCTGAATTGATCCGAAAATGATTTTCAGTGAAACTTTCACTCAAAAACTTCAGTTCTGGGACTTGAACAGCTTCGTTCGAAGGTACTATACTACCAATTTTCAAAAGGAAGATTCACCATTGATCGAGTAATATTCCGTTACAACGAATTCCGCTCTAACGAATTTTTCGTTACAAGGATTTTTTCCTGGTCTCATTACTTTCTCCTCAGGACCCATGCTGAAAATATAATTTTAACGAACTCATTTCAAGCAGTAATCTCAGTAAAACAAACTTTTGGTTCTCTTTCTGTTAATGGATCATAGGGAGCACTTTATATTCGGCAATAAATGCTTCAAAAAATGTAATTACGGAGACTTGGAAATTATAAGAGGTATTAAATCAATTTTTTTTAGAACCACAATACAGTATTTCTCAGCCATTTCCCACAAAATGCTTCGTCCAAAAAGGGATTGAAAACTACGAGGCTCAATTTAACATATTTTTCGTCGTAGCACATTTTTCCTCCGGTCCCTGGGAGTTCGGTGTAACGAGATTTTACTGTACTGTACATCGAAAACAAAAACAACAACACTACAGTTGAACCGCGATAAGTCGAACCTCCCCAAGTCGAATACCTTCTGACGAACTTTTTTGCAGACCTCACCTGAATTTCCCAACAGCACATTAAAAACGTAATTAACTTGACGAATATCCTCCCTCAAACCTCCATAACTCGAATTTTCTGAAGGCTTTTTGGCAATTATGTAAATAAAAAAAAAGGAAAGAGAAAAGCAATAAAAACAGAGTTTGATTCGTTTTGAATGGAAGTGAAAGAAAAAATTTGGGAAAATAAACCCTTGCCTCCAACTTCCGTCATCCTGTCAACTCATTCAAGAAGCAATCAAAGGCCTAGAATATCACCAATTAAAATTTTATGAAATTCTTTCTTTCTATCTTCCAAGAGAAAAATGCTATTTTGCAGAACTGAAAACCTGCCCAAGTCAATATTCATTGACTGGTCCCTTGAAGTTCGACTCGGACGAGGTTCGATTGTACTATTGTCCCCAAAAACAAACTGAAAACCTGCCCGAGTCAAATTTATTGACTGATCCATTTACGTTTGACTGGAAGAGGTTCGATTGTACTATTGTCTCCAAAAAATAAAATTCAAAAACCAAAAACAAACTGAAAACCTGCCTGAGCTTATTCAAGTTCGACTGGAAAAAATTCGATTGTACTATTGTCCCCAAAAAAATACAATTTAAAAACCAAAAACAAACTGAAAACCTGCCCAAGTCAATATTCATCGACTGGTCCCTTGAAGTTCGACTCGGACGAGGTTCGATAGTATACAGTATACTACTGTCGCCAAAATAAATCAAAAAATAAAATTAAAAAAACAAAAACAACAACAAAGCATGCTTGCCTGCAGATGCACTGTTGGTGCTGGTGCTGCCACCTTCCGGCTGCTTAGCCTTCAAGCGCAACTTTTCAGCACGCGTCATGCGAACCGCCGGCGGCGCCGAAGCCGCCAAGTGCGTCATGCTTCGTGCCAACGAACTACGTGCCGCCGCCGGCGACGACTGCAACGTTCCCGCAACTGCTGTAGCCGCTGCTGTCAAAGCCGCCGCCGCCGCCCCCGGGGACGCCCCCGACGACGAACCCCGAGCAACAAGCAGCTTCTTCGGCCCCAAGTGACACATGCTCCTAGACATGCTGCTTTTGCCAGGGCTGACGCGGCTGGCAGAGTTATTATTATCAGTCCTACCATCCGCACCGGGGGTCATCTGCTTTTGCTGCAAGAGTCGGCGACGGGGTTGGGCCAGCTGGTCCAGGCGGGACAGCGACACGGCCCGATTCGGCGGCGTGCGCTGTTGCTGCTGCTGCTGCTGTTTCCCGTGGCATCCGGGGCTCGAAGACGACGCCGTGGAGCCGTGGAACGAGGTTTCCATGGTGCAGGCCCCACGTGGCAACAACTGGGACTGCGGCGTCGTCGGCATCAGGTCAGTTCTCCGACGAGCCTTGGACGAAGGCGCCGAAAGTGGGGAGCCCGGCAGGATGGCCGACATGGACTGCGTCATTATGTCGTCTGGTGAGGCGGAAACGACGGAGACAACCGGGATATAAGAGAGGAAAAACATGCGTGAATTAATCAGGCCTTAACATTTTTGACAATAATTACTTTATTTAATTCAATTTGTTTCTTCGGGGAAATGGGGCAAAGCGGTGAATTCCAGTCAAGCAGGACAAAAGTTCCAAAGCTCGAAAACATTATGGCGGAAGAAAAAAACACGCTCATATCGGGTTAGCGACACAATTTTACAAAAATCCACGATGCTTCAAATACAGGGTGGACTAAAAAAAAAGCAGACACTCATATTTAATCTGATACCAGGTCAACTCTCTCCTTCTACAAGGAATTTTAGACGAAGCGGAAAAGACGGAGAACTCTGGAACATAAGAAGAATAAATGTTGATTATCTAGGTCTTTTCATTTTGACAATATGATTTCCATTTCAATCACATTTTTTCTCAAGGGAAATGACTCAAGCGGTGAATTCCAGTCAAGCAGGACGAAAGTTCCAAAGCTCGAAAACATTATGGAGGGAGAAATAAAATTAAAAAAAACGCGCTCATATCGGGTTAGCGACACAATTCTTAAAAAATCCACGATGCTTCAAATACAGGGTGGACTAAAAAAAGCAGCCACTCATATTTAATCTGATACCAGGTCAACTCTCTCCTTCTACAAGGAATTTTAGACGAAGCGGAAAAGACGGAGAACTCTGGAACATAAGAAGAATAAATGTTGATTATCTAGGTCTTTTCATTTTGACAATATGATTTCCATTTCAATCACATTTTTTCTCAAGGGAAATGACTCAAGCGGTGAATTCCAGTCAAGCAGGACGAAAGTTCCAAAGCTCGAAAACATTATGGAGGGAGAAGGTCTTTTCATTTTGACAATATGATTTCCATTTAAATTACATTTTTCTCAAGGGAAATGGTTCAAGCGGTGAATTCCAGTCAAGCAGGAAAAAGTTCCAAAGCTCGAAAACATTATGGAGGGAGGAAGAAAATTGAAAAAACACGCTCATATCGGGTTAGCGACACAATTTCTGAAAAATCCATGATGCTTCAAATACAGGGTGAACTAAAAAAAAGACACTCATATTTAATCTGATACCAGGTCGACTCTCTCCTTCTACAACGAATTTCAGACGATGCGGAAAACACGGAGAACTCTGGAGCATACGAAGAAAAATTTTTTTTTCAAAATAACTAGGTTTTTCATTTTGAAAATGATTTCCATTTTAATTCAAATTTTCCTCAAGGAAAATGGTTTAAGCGGTTGATTTTCAAGCTGGACGAAAATTCCAAAGCTCAAAAACATTACGGAGTGGGGGAAAAAATATGCTCATTAGCGACACAAATTTGCAAAAATCCATAATGCTTCAAATACAGGGTGGACTGAAAAAAAAGACACTCATATTTAATCTAATACTGTACCAGGTCGACTCTCTCCTAAAACGAATTTTAGATTATGCGGAAATGACGGAGAACTCTGGAAGATACGAAGAAAAACATGAATGAATTAACTAGGCTTCTGATTTTGACAATGATTTCCATTTTAATTTAAATTTTTCTCAAGGAAAATGGTTCAAGCGGTGAATTCCAGTCAAGCAGGACGAAAATTCCAAAGCTCGAAAAAATCACGGGAGTGGGAAAGAAAAAAAAATACGCTCATTAGCGACACAAATTTGCAAAAATCCACGATGCTTCAAATACAGGGTGGACTGAAAAAAAGAAACTCATATTCAATCTGATACCAGATCTAGTCTCTCTACAACGAAACTCAAGGGACCAATATAAAATTCGTTGTAGAGAACCGCAATAACATCGGGAAAGAACCCTAGAACACAAAATGAAAATCGTTATACCGGGAATATCGTTGTAAAGAAGCCCACTTGTACATACTGTACTTTCTTACAGGTTGATATAGAGCTAACGAAACAATTAATCGAATCGAATTTCGTTCAAAGAAATTTGCGTGAAAATTCATCTTTTGAAAAGATATTCTTCGCGCTAATCATAGTTGAACTGAATTCACTTGAAGGCGTATTACTGAAAAAAAACATCTAAAAAATTATTTTGCTTTTCAATAACAAGACCAAGAGACTCTTCACAGCCCGTGTCATAATTCCGCGCGTCTTTGATAAATTGCAAGTAATGTACTGTACCAGTTTTTTTCAGAGTGCGTTTCAGGGTTGTCTGGAAATTCGTGAATTTTTATACAATTAATTTTTAGGATGGAGAAGAGATTCAGGGATTTCCTGTCCCACTTCCGTAAACCCTTGAGAGAGAACAAAAGCTAACTCGTATACTAGCATAGTTTCAGTTCGGACATATTTCCTTTCTGACAAATTGAGAGATAGAGTACGAAAAGAATTCAGAATTTTTAAATGATTAAATCAATCAAGGTTCATGGAATTGAAGCAGGATATCTGTGAACCATCAGAATTGATGCCTGCCAAATTAATTTATATGCAATAAAAAAAAATCCCGGACAGCTGTGAAATATAAATTCAAACACAGGAAATAAATTTTAATGATTCATCTGTTTTCAGATAATTTAAAGGTGTGCGAAAGTAGGACAACTCTCAAACGTACCCCTCCACAAATTTTGAAAAAGGGAACACAAATTCCCATTCAATTTTTCAAAATTCTGTACTAATTCAAATAATGAAAAAAATTGGATATCATTCAGATAAGAATTGAATGAACTTCAAAATGGATGGCTTTTATTTTCACAAAATAGATCAAACCAATTCTGAAATACTGCAGTTCGAAAACGTGTCACATTTTTCCAGTCCACCCTGTAAAATCACCCAACGCTGCAAATTATAAAAAAAACCAATTCACAGCAATTTTCTATTTTTCGCTCTCTGAACTACAAAGAAAAAAATTTGAATTTATAAAAATCAATTAACAGCATGAATAAAATCGCAATACAGCAGGCGATTCCAAAGCTTGCAAACATCAGGGAAGAAAAACTGATTACGTAAGGTTAGCGACACAAATTCAAAATGCCTTGTAAATGGCACCAAAAAAAAAAAATCAGTCATCCATGATGCATCGAATAATGCTTCATCAATTCCAGTATCATCACCAAAAAAAAAACGTGATGATTTAAAAACAAAAACGGACTTATTCATTCATGTCTTCATAACTACACAAAAAATTTCTTCAATCCACGAAACGCTAGTTTTTCTATTTCATTCTCTGATTAAAAATACTTGCGTTTCAGCCTGAAAAAAAAACTGCGAAAATCGCGTCTGACTGACTTCAAATCAAGCCATTTCTTCTCCTCGCATCTCTCGCACAAAATAAAAACTCAACTCAAAATTTAACAACTTGCCTTTCTTTGGCAGATCAAATCAAAGAGAAAGGGAGGGAAGGGTGAGGGCTGTTGAAAACCAAAACAAGCTCAAGAAATACGACCGAAAACACATTTTTTCACCACTACTTAATGACAACTAACGAAAGGGGACGAGGCTCTGAATCGCTCATGAAAACGCTATAAAAATCCTCTACAGCCAAAAAAAACAATATTTTCGCTTCGGGACGAACAAATCTATAAAAATTCCTCCGGATTGACGACGCTGACAACAGCCTCGAGGCATTAACCCGTTTCTGCCAACTCCATAAAGAACCTGTTAACTGGCAGAGAAAGTCAAGTTTACACCGTTAAAAATATAGCGGCTGATGCGCGAAAGAAAAATAAAAACCTTTCTATATACATCTTTCCATCAGGAAAAAAAAAACCAATGCGAGGGAAAGTGAAGAGACGCAAATCAATCAATTCACTTCGCGTGAAATAATGATGCTATAAACTATACATAAAAAATACGGAGAATCGAAGCAAATTAGGTTTATGAAACCAGCTCATCAAAGAGTACATAATAAAAATAGGTTCGGATATTGTTCAGGAAATGATGAGCAGTGGCTGAGAAAACTGAAAAGAAATTCCGAGAGTTTCAAATTACTGTTTTTTTTTTCTTTTACGTCTCGTAAATTATGTTATTTTTACATTCGAAAATATCGTCAGTCATGAAAAATCTTCAAGAGATATTTGCTAGCCAGAAAATTCGCTAATTGATTCAACCAATTAATTGAAAGAAAAACAAACATGTTAAATCGATTTTCATCAACAGCAGCAGTTCGGCTTCCATATTTCTTTCAAAAATTCGTCAAAAACCCCTTTGATCTGCAAAATCTCGCACGAACTTTCAGAGGCTTTCAAAGTCAGATGACAAATGAATTCAAAAAAATAAAAACAAAGATAAACTCAATAAGCCGCTAAGTCTCTATAGGAGCGATGTAATTTCACAATTCTTCGCAGATTCAGAAATCAAAAATTGGTTTTCACCCCCTTTCGGAATCTCGAGATCCGAACACCAGCGAAATCGACGAAGAAATTTTCAACTGTTCGTATTTCCTCGTGAAGTTTTTAAAGTTGCTGATATGGTTATTACTCGTTTTCGGACCAGTTTTTAAATACACCGTTAAAAATATAGCGGCTGATGCGCGAAAGAAAAATAAAAACCTTTCTATATACATCTTTCCATCAGGAAAAAAAAAACCAATGCGAGGGAAAGTGAAGAGACGCAAATCAATCAATTCACCTCGCGTGAAATAATGATTCTATAAACTATATACATAAAAAAATACGGAGAATTGAAGCAAATTAGGTTTATGAAACCAGCTCATCAAAGAGTACATAATAAAAATAGGTTCGGATAATGTTCAGGAAATGATGAGCAGTGGCTGAGAAAACTGAAAAGAAATTCCGAGAGTTTCAAATTACTGTTTTTTTTACTTCTTTTACGTCTCGTGAATTATGTTTATTTTCACATTCGAAAATATCGTCAGTCACGAGAATATTCAAGAGATATTTGCTAGCTAAAAAATTCGCCAATTGATTTAACCAATTAATTGAAAGAAAAATAAACATGTTAAATCGATTTTCATCAACAGCAGTTTGGGTTCCATATTTCATTCAAAAATTCGTCAGAAACCCCTTTGATCTGCAAAATCTCGAACGAACTTTCAGAGACTTTCAAAGTCAGATGACAAAGGA